AAAAATGTCTTGAGGTACCTTCTTTATATTTCGTATCCATACATTGAATTTGTATGGCTTCGGAATATCTTTAAAATCGACGACTACCAATTTTGCACCTTTCCATAATTTATTACTATCAATGGTTGGAACGTATTTTTCCAGCCATTGAATTGTATATGAATCAGTGCAGCGAACACGCATTGTACCCAGATGTAACCGAGCGTCATCAATTTGTGGTAATTTGATGTTTTTACTCACTTGAGACATCATTAGATCGACCAATTGCGTGTTTAAAATGTCAAATCTTTTCTGATCCAACATTGTCATCGAGTTTTCTTGACGCTGATCGATAATTGCCACACTTTGGTATTTAGCTACCGAAGCGTAGTCTTTATCTTCTCCATCATTCAACCCGATATTAGATGAATCAGAGCCAGACGACTGCTTATTTGCAGGTGGCACTGATCCTTTTGGTTGACAAGCTGCATCAGAGGTAGATGGCATAGAACCAATCGACTGCTCTTTTTGAGCAGGTGGTACTACTTTACCTCCTTTTGCAGCTTTGCCAACTTTTTTAGCCTTTTCTACAGTCTCAGTCAACGAATTTGGGTTCGGTGAGACTATAGTGGCAGTGGCAGAAACATGGTGACATCGCATTATTTCGTTCGTTGATTTTTTTCATAATCTAAAATCGAAGATAAATTGGTTTACGCTGAAATCGTGAATCTCTCATTCACACAAGTAAAATCAGTTTCAAGGGAATCATAAATCCACACAATGGGATAAATAACATCATCGTTAATTTGTCTATAAATCGGATTACAAACGTTCATACTTGTTGTTGCGTGAAAAGAAAAAGACAAAATATGATAACACGTGAGTGCTAATCAACTAACCGTGGAGAACTAGAGCTGTAATTGGAGATGATGCTATTCAAGGAATGAATATAAAATTACCATTACGACTATTAATTTCATATATATAGTATATATTAATACATAGAATTTAAAATATGGCATCAACTGATATGTGTTCAACTCAAAATCATGTTTTAGCCAAAGAAATTGTGATTAAATACATTGAAGCGGAAAATTAATATCAATCTTTTCGATTTTATCCAGCTGACCATGTGGATTTTCTCATCCCATGCTTTCGATACGAGTTAAACCAATCTATATATAATCGATATCGGAAAGTTATTCATGCAAGTGTTTTTCAATCACCGTCAGCAGTATTGTTAGAACAAAGAAAGCAACTGTAATGGATGAAAAAATTAGCTGTTTTTATCATTCTGGTATGCACAGTGTATAGCATTCCTGTCGAACATACTTTGGTCATTATCATCAATTTGAAATATTGGAATCGAGGACAGGCAAACCATCGTTACTACGATATTATTGAGTGACGAATCGTCATTGATGATGCAGTAACACTAATTCCGCCTGTACATAAATAATAGCCTATTTTAATAAACAACGTAGGTAAACAAAATAAAATCTGCTCACAACAAAAGACCCCAGTTTAGTATTTTCGAATGATGTGAATGAAATGAAGCGAAAAGGACGGCACATTCACTTGAAATGGATGAAGGCGCCGTTCGGTTGATAAAGGCGGATGCCACACAGAGAAAAAAAATTTGGTAAATGTAAAGGGTAATTTGTAAGTTTAATATTACTTTACCAAATTACCGTACGAATTCTACCATTTTGTCATATTTTCAAAACAAACGACACGAACAAATTAAATTTACCCCAGCATAATATTACATTTACCAATTGCCGCGTAGCAGTCAAATCATACCTAACGTCGACATATCATCGACTGTGTTATTAAATTCTTCGTATTGAATTCGACGATTTTGATTTCACTTTTATCGACGATTTCTGTATTATTCATAAACAAATTATTAAAATTTGCCAATCCCAATTCTGATTTGATCTCTTCGCTTTTATTTTTTTGAGGACAAAAGTTCACGCGATTAGACATGTTGTAGGTTGTGAACAATACGATGATATGTCGACGTTAAGGTCCATTTTCCAAGGCGGCGATTACAATCGTGTACGATTTCAAATCGTTGGCCAAAATCGTTAACGATTGAGATCAATGGTTTTTTTGACGCCAAAATCGTGAACGATTTATTATTTGTGGTTTTTTTGACGCCCGATTTGAAAAAAAATCGTGGACGATTGCAATCGCCGCCTTGGAAAATGGACCTTTAGGTATGTTTTGACTGCTACGCGGCAATTGGTAAATGTAATATTATGCTGGGGTAAATTTAATTTGTTCGTGTCGTTTGTTTTGAAAATATGACAAAATGGTAGAATTCGTACGGTAATTTGGTAAAGTAATATTAAACTTACAAATTACCCTTTACATTTACCAAATTTTTTCTCTCTGTGCACGGTACCGAATACCCTTTTTATATCTCAAATTTATTTATTGCTGTAGGCACTCGCATTTCCCCATAAAAACCAGTGACCGGTTCGCGCATATTTCTATGCCTGATAGCTATGCTAAGCATAGCGGAGACGCAAGCCGCAACGCACCCGTCACCATTCGATTCGAGCTATATTGTATGCGCACGGTCGTCTGCATAAACGAACATGTGTATTGTTCATATAGAGTGAACGGCGATGCGTCGGTTGCGTTTGCGGCTATGCTTGGCATATCTATGCTACCTAGCGTATTTAGGCAAGCATAGAAATATGCGCGAACCGGTCACTGATAAAAACAAACAAAATTTTCCCATAGATTTTCATTTCAAAAGACCTGAAAAGACCACATCTTTTAGCCACACCACATAAATCACTTTATGAATGAAAAAAGCTGTATTTGTAAACGTGTGACTAAATTCAATTTTGGGAACTTTATGCGATTAAAATTACCTGAGAGCTACAATGATAAACTGAAAATAATCATGAAAATTGTGTTGTGGAATTTACTTTGGAATTACCAATTTGTGTTCACTTTGTTCAGCAGCTAGTTATATTACGGAGATTATTACTTTACTGTCCTCTCAGTTGAAGAGTGTAAATCCCAATGTATCTAAAAGTGAATCCGAATGATAATTTCCAATGTATTGTCGTATTTTAATATTGTTACGATCAAAACACAAGTGTGCAACTTGTCATTAAAATTTTAATACAAATCAAAATCCATAAACTGATGAAAACGTAACACATTTAAATAATAATCAAAACTGTGCGTGATTCTCATTAATTGTTGTTATGCAATCATTGAAATTTAATGCAATTTGCATCAATTTGTTTAGTTTAAATATTTACTGTGTTAATCAAATTCTATGTAGAGTAATGTGTTTTTAACCGAAATGGATTGAAGTTCATGAACTTTGCTGAAAATATCCTTTTCTGTTTTTTTTTGAAAACTATGTTCTAATAACTATACTCTAATTAAACTCTCTTGTGTGCACCATTACAACTATTACAAGCGCATCGAAATAATTGTCTCTCCTGATACTGAAATAACGAGCGAGAGATTGAAAGAAGATTCATTTGAAATTAGCCCAACGATAACGTAAACTAAGGCAATTGAGTAATAAAATAGGTAGTGAGTGGAATAATAACTTTAAAACAACCATTAATTTAGGACCAAATGGAAGTATATAAGTTCATGCAGTGAATTTAAAATGTAATAATGTATAATTAAATAAATAAATTTCCATCGATATAATGATTACGACCGAATGGCAAACTCTTATGTACCGATGGTCGACATTCTAAATTGTTTGTAATTTCAACGGAAATAGTCATATCGACATCGTATGAAATGCTTTTCTATTTAATCGCTTCTGATGTGTTTGGTGAGAGGAAATTATATTATACAAAGACTGGCACACTGAATTGATAAATGCAGATTGCAGATATTACATTCAATATATAGACAAAAAAACATCAAGCAATAAGTAGAACGTGGTAGAACGGAATCAAATGGTATACGTTTGACTTCGGAATTGTGTTATGTAAAAGGATTTAAAGATTTCTATTGAAATAATTGAAGTGGAAAATAGATTTTCACCTGCATTTTACGATGATGATTTCTTCGTGGGATTGTTTTTTGCCATTTTGACAAGAAAAATCATTTTAATTAGAGGTTTGCGTGAAAAAATCCAGACTAAATTATTATCAAGTATGCTTGACGAAAATACACTCACTATACAATCGTATAATAAGATATTGTCAAATCGATACCTCTTCGAATTGGTTGATGAACCGATTAAAATGCACTAACCGCAACAATAGTTTTGATAAAAGATGATGTGACAACAATATTTCCATTCAAGGTCATAGAACATGGCAAACAGAGCATTAATTTTGTGGTGAAAATGTAGCTGCAATGATATCATGTGATTTGACGCGCACAGATTTTATTATCATTGGAGTTACTTACCTAAGGGCATGTCCCCTTAAAACAAATAATTGGATGGTGTACCACTAGAAACTAGATAAATCGGTATGGTCATTAACATTAGACCATAAAACGCGATTCAATTTGAAATCAACCATTAGATGCACAGTGCACACTCATACACAACAATCTTTTATTATATGAAACGAAACTGGTTGGTGAAATCAGTGTTGTTGTCGTCATCATTGTTGTTTTGTTGATTTCCATTTTGTTGAACGGAATTTACGACAAAGCATACGGTCACAATGCAACTCTTTTTCATATTCTCGTCATTTGCTATGGACATTTTATTGCAAATCGAAATCCATAAACTGATGAAAATGTCTACCGCAACTCATGATTAAATAATCGGCTTTATATGTTTGTCGTTTATTCCGCAAATTTTCGTTTGCACATCCATTGAAATTCGAATGACTTTTAAGCATCAATTCGATTCGACCAGATTCAACCCAGATCAGTTCGAAGTTGAACAGTTTGAATAAATTAGGAAAATCATTGCCAAAAGATTGCTCATCATGTGGCAACTGATTTTCACACATTTCATTTGAACGACAGTTTTTTGCTGGAAAATGAAATAATAAATTTCTAATTGATTCAATTTATGCATATTTAATTATTTTAATAAAATTTAAAGTCTTGAGCCGACTGATTTTTACATTTACATATAATATAAAAAGGGGGAACCAAGTGATAATTTCATCTCTTGTACAGACACACTACTAAATTACATAAAATGAAATACAGCAATGAATTAGTTAAGCTTTTATGATTTACGATTTTGTTCTTCGTTCGCTCGATTGAATTGTAATAAAATGACCAAATATGTTGCAATAGCTCCAAAAAGCTACACAGAATGAAAAGTGCCACAGAGATCCAATTACAGAGAGAGCGATAGAAAATGAAATTTTAATTAAAAATAAAGAGCTCATAGCAAAAACATGACAATATCTATTTTTAATAAAAGAAAGAAAAAAATCATACTGTTGTTAAAAGCGGTCGATCAATCCGGCACATGCCACAGGCAGAAAAGAACGTATTATTATCGGCCATTAGCTGACACCAAAATTTTTTCAGCTATCGACGACAATGGAATAAAAAATAAACAAATTCAATCTATATTCATGTTTCAATGGTGCGAGAGTATGTGAAAAAAAAATTGTACCGCATAGTGTTCTCCTTTCATTCGCAGCAAATCGCATACAATCTTCATCGTTCTGCCAGCCTAAAAATATTCATTATATACTACGTTATTTAAAGAGTTCTGAAACTAGAATGTTTTTTGTTATTTTTATTGTTGGTGTTGTCGTACCTCGGCCGCGACAAAATGACATGGTTCAATAATCAAAATTAAACGAAGTGCATGGAAAATCAACCAAAAAACTTGCACAGTTGTATAAAATGTATCCTTTGCAGCATTTGAAACGAAAAATGAACACAAACATGGTGAAAACGGATTGAAGGTAGAGAAAAAGCGAAGCCGCATAAAAACCAAATAATGACCAAATGAACGTATGACTTTGCCTACGAACAATGGTATAAATGCAACGTATGATTTCTTTACACAATTTGCGGTTGCAATATGAATCGATACGGCAAATATGGAAAGATTTTTTTCTATTGAATGGTATTGGCTATGGTTGCCAAAGATAGCAGTTCAATAATATTCTGTTTTATCTATCGTCGGTTGCAGCCGTTCTCAATTGCCCCAACCACCAATTGATATATGATGAAACATGTTGCAACTGTTCTCTCAAAAGAAATGATAAGCTTGCCTCTACTAACAGTTTTGCCTCGTAGCCAGTCATTTGTTTTATTGCATTTTCACCTTTCACCAGGCAGAATCAATTAAATTGAAATTTTGCTTACCCGATTACCAAAAACTTCGAGAAAGAAAAAATAACCAGTCACAACTAAATGAAGCATGCAGGAAACTAGAAGTAGTAAAATTGTTACACCGAATTCTCTGCAAAATGGGTGAAAAATAATATTATTTGATGTAGTAAAGCACATTTGAATGTATCTTTGTCGGCCGATCTGTATATGTGTGTGTGTGTGTGTGGTTGTGCACAGAGAAATCGCATGAAACTGGCAAACCGAGATTCAGCCGATAGAGTTCAAGTGTGTATACGTAGTAAAAATATTGATGGTGCAGATTGTCGCTCTAAACTCAATCGATTCTACTTACGACGAAACATTAACCATCGCTTTGCCAAGCAGTTCATGAATGTCAGCAAATTGATTTATAATCTCGTCGGTTGTATGTATATTGAACGCATTGTAATTTGGTTTGGCTGTTGAGAATATAAAAAAAATATTGAATTATTTTTAAAGAGAGTATAAATCTTTCGATGGTATAGCTTTGTAAATCATTCAGGGAGGTGAAAAGGAGAGAGGAAATGAAATTGAAAATCATTCTTGGAATGAATGACGGTTCAGCCGGTTACAGTTGGATAATTTTATCCGGTTTTCGTTTAATGTTTCGAGAGTTACCACTGAGTTCAACTGAAAATGGCGTATCGATAGAAATATGAATATCCTTACCATGATTAACACTTGCCACAAAATTGTGTCGCTTCAAATACAGCCCCATTGATGGCCGATTTATCGGTTCATTGCTTCTCCACAAAGCATATTCTTGTTAATGCATGCAAAGTAAAAAAGTCGTATGCCAAATATTAATCAAATGAAATGAAGTGTGAAAAAATGCGATTTATTCTTTCATATTTTTTTGTCCCTCAAACTTACGATACGCTTTCGAGTTTCGAAGTGCCTTATTGAGAGCTAGATATCTTAGTGCAATACGATATGTTGAATAGGCAAATTTGATGTGAATTGTCAAGAACAAAATATACATTACGTAAAATGGCACGAAGCAAATCACATTTTGATCGAGCGCAACTATTTGTGTTGAGAAATGAGAGAATTTTTTTAGATTTTATATCTTCTACACTGTTTTGACAAATTGATCGGAGATTGTGGAATTTAATATATATAAAAGATAAAATACCAGCATTTTGATCACGTAATTTTACGTTAGCGGCGAGTCGCACATAACCCAAGATATCAACAGCTTAACAGGATCAACGAGATTTATTTTTATACATATATGAATTGATTGGAAAATTTCTTCGTGCAAATCGTTCTATATTAGTGGGACGTTCACAATAGAAAGAATATGTTCACCAAGCAATGCTTACCTAACATCGAACAAATATACACGTAGACAATTGAAACGAACGTGGTCAATAGTCGACGAGCACCTAATGTGTGCAACGAAATATTTTCACATAATCCCATGAGCTTTTGATCAGCCTGCGAAAATTATAATTACAATCCAAAAGAAATCGAGATTACACAAACATTGACAGACACAAAAAGAAGTGAAATGAAAAAAAATTATCAATATTATCACCATGTCACAGCTATTCACCTTATTCAAGCTTGCATTCATTTGCTGCGTATTCTGTAAACCATAAACACCCGTCAGCATTGCAATGAGACAGCAACCCACCAGAACATTTACATCGAAACTAGTAACAACTTTCTGTGTCGCTGTTTTCAATCTATTCATAAAACACATAAATGTTTATCCAATTTATAATTCATTTTGTTATCAATGAAAAACCGATTAAATTCACTCAATATTGACATTTCTCTCAGTGTTTCACCTCAGTGGAATGGCCGATGTTGCATCGAAGTAAATTCCATAGTTCGTTAGTGTACCCAATAAAATCAACAGTGTTACACTATAAATGCACAAAAATCGACTGTATTTCACCTGAATAATTTGATTCAATTTGTTTTGCTGGATCGAATAAGGTGCAAATCCAAACAATCGGGCTGCATAGTAAACAGAAAGCGTGGTTTTGTTTATTTCCATTTCGATGCACTTTTTTTCTGTCGCTTTCATTCGAAAGAAAAATATTTTCTTTGTTAATTGAAACCGTTGTATTTCTTTTGATTGGTAGGTTGACTTGCATATTTTTCTCAACCTCTATTATATAATTCATATGTTAGCGAGCAAGATTTGATTAATGTTTTGCCATTAAATGTCTTCTTACTTTTTTTTCTCAATTGAATCATCACTTTGGCGAATAAGTTTTTAATTTTATGGATGAAATCGGACGGAAAGGAATGTTGTTGAACATGAAATTTTTTTCTTGCATTCTATATGATTCGCTCGATGTTATTTCTCTTGTTGTTTGTCGTACAAAAAGTTACCACTGAACACACAAGCAGTTAACAAACCTCTGTGGAGTATTTCGTCTGGAATTCACGCTTAATGATTAAAGTTTACATTTTAATAAACACTTTGAAAACAATTTTCCATGAGACACATGCACACGTTCAACAACGATCTGATAAAATCAGCTTACAACTTTCATTGCGGAGGCAATTTACACATGTTTCGAGGTTTTCACATGCACTGTTTTTTTTATTATTATTTCTCTTTCTCTCCTTTAAATTTATGTGCATTTTGTTGAACATTGATACAATTACAGTAAAACTTGAGTTATGATTGAATTTTTTTTGGGGGGGGGGAGAACTTTGTACATATCAAAAACGTATACAGCGAGTATCGTCTATGGAGCTGTTGACGTGTGAAGACCTTTTTTTGATCAACAACAATATTGTTGTAGCATAAAACCATTCGCTATTCAAAAATGAGTTGTCCCAAGGGGAGTATAAATTTTATTTCCTTTAAATTGGCGCTGTAAGACCGCACATTATTTTACGCAGGATTACAAGCTAAATGGTACTTTCGTGTGGAAAAAACGATTTTTATTGCCAAAACACTTTCCAGTAGCAACATTTTGATGAGAAGTAAATTCATCCTGTTTGTTCTTTTATTTAAATTCATTGAAGTGTTTGTTAACTGACCAAAGTATAGAAATGCAACAGTTACTGTCTGAGATTTCATCCAAAGTTACTACTCACAGATAAAACAGAAACTAAAACCGAACGCATAAAATTACGATCCAAATGCTCCTAGCTTCCCCATTTCATTATTTCCTTTCATATGTATTGATTATTTATGTAAATATTGTATGAAATTGTTTTATTGTAGTTAATTATATCAAATAAAAAACCTCTATCAAGGTGAAGAACGAGTGACGAAAC